GGGTTAAAGGTGTGCACTACCACTGCTAGGCACAGCAAGTGCTCTTAACTATTGAGGCATCTCTCTAGCCCTGGTATACCGCCTGCTGTTAACTGCTTATCTTTGTGGTCTCTGGAAGTAGCCCTTGTGTTTGGGCTGGCCCCTTCATTTGTGCTTGAGATGCACTCTGCCTCCTTCGAGACCTTATTTCATCTTCTCTGTGTCTTCAGCATCAACTTTGGTTGTACTCTTTGTATGCTACCGTTTGACCTCCCTCAGGTGAGGCAACCCGCCTGCTATTTCCCACTAGCTAAAGACAGTGCCCTATCCTTCTCTTCCCTTTATAGCCGTGCTCGTTTAGATGAAAATAATTTGTCTTTACTCAGTTTTGCAGCTTTATTTTTCAGTCCCTTGTTTGTGTTTTTCTATCATCATCCTGGATTCTCTCTTGCCAAACTACAGATGATGTAATGTCAAATTCAGAAGCCCTCTTCTCTTGGTTTCTTCAGCTTGCCTTTAAGATTTTTTTCTTTTCAGATTCAAAGATTGGTTTATTCTGGATTCTGTATTTTTCCCCCTCAATATCATATCAGAGCTTCTAATTTTTTTCTACTTAAACACTCTTTTTTTCTCAGACTCTTGAGACAGAGTCTCACTATGCAGCCCAGGCTGGCCTGGAACTCACAGAGTTCTGGTGGCCTCTGCCTCCCCAGCACTGGGATTTAAAGAATGAGCCACCATGTCTGGTTCTTAGACATTTTAAAGTAACTGTAGCATATAGCTATAGGAAGTAGGTATACAAACAAAACATCTACTGCTTTTCAGTCATAAAGATACTTATTTTAAAATAATTCTTTGGTATTCTTATAATTTTACCACTTAGTAAATGTGAAGTGTATTTGGATACTAATGAGGTAGGTATGTATATTTATTTTACATAGAGAATTAAAGCTTGTATAAATATTTGATGCTGTAGTACACAAAATACTTTATTTTTTCACTTTAACTGATGATACTGATCTTATAGTTGTCAGTGCGGGGAATGTTGATTCACAAATGTAGCATAAATGGAAATGTATTTAGGGACATTTGAGAAATTATGAAAATTCTGTCCTAAGGCAAAATTCATTTTAACTTTCTTAAAATATTTATGTGCCAGGTGGTGGTGGCACATTCCTTTAATCCCAGCACTGGGAAAGCAGAGGTGGGTGGATCTCTGTGAGCTCGAGGCCAGCCTGGTCTACAAAGTAAGTTCCAGGAGAGTCAGGATTGTTACATAGAGAAACCCTGTTTTGAAAAACGAAAGAAAAAGAAAAAAGAGAAAATTTTATGTAGTTAACTGGCAGTGGTAGAGCATGCCTTTAATCCCAGTATTGGGGAGGCAGAGATAGGCAAATCTTTTGAGTTTAAGGCCAGCCTGGTCTACAGAACAAGTTCCAGGACAGCCAGGACTACACAGAGAAACCCTGTCTCAAAAAACCAAAATATTTAATTATTTTAATGTGTATATTGTGTACCCAAGTGTATGTGTGTGCACTGTATGCATGTAGGAAGTCAGAAGAGACATTGGATCCCCTGGAACTGGAGCTACAGATAGTTGTGAGCTGCCATATGGGTGCTAGGAATAGAACCCAGGTCCTCTGCAGGAGCCAAAGGTGCTCCCAACTACTGAGCCATTTCTCCAGTTGTGTGTGTGTGTGTGTTGAGACGGTTTCTCTGTGTTGCACTGGCTGTCCTGGAACTCAGATATGCCTGCCTCTGCCTCCCAAGTGCTGGGATTAAAGGTGTGAGCCTTTTTCCGTTTTTTAGATGAAACTTAAGTTACTTAAATTAGTAACTCAAGCAACAAACTTGTAACACTATACATTTTGGAGATTTGCTAATTTGATGTTTACATATTGAGAAATGATAGTAGAAAAATATTGAAAGACTTTGTTTTCATAATAAGACTATTATGTTTCTATGAGGCCAACAATCTTTGTAGAGTAGAAACCCTACACTGTATAGTGTGTAGTAGTCTCCGATTGGAGCTGCAGTGTTTGAGTCAGCAGTAGTGGGTTGGAGGGCATGACGGCATGCACAGTGCAGAGTATGCAGAAGCACACTGGATTTGTGATATGTTTGATTTAGTTCTTTTCTGGTCATGGCATGTTCAGAAGTCTTACTATTGCCAAGTTTTCCCAAACCCCAAGTTCACCTGTGTGGAGCCACAGCCCACAGATTAAGCTGGGTTCTAGGCACTCTTGTGTATTCTTTTATGTATTTTAGTAAGAACTCAGATCTTTGTCCTGTGAACTCATTGTCTGAGCTGTTGATACTTTGTGGCCTGGTCCTTCCCAATTGAATCTCTAGTATGTCCTCAATGGAAGACTTAGAAGCTGAACAGCTGCTTATTTGCACGTTTCTTCTTCCAGAGGTCCAGTGTTGGCACCTTTCACCAGAGTTAGAAATGGAAAGATTGGGCTGGTGAAATGGCTCAGCAAGCCAAGTTCTTACCAACAAACCTGCCAGCCTGAGTTCAGATCCCAGAACCACCTCCTTCAAAGTTGTGTTCTGACTTCCACGTGCACACTGAGACACCCTGCCCCCCCATCTCTACCCTTCCCCATGCAATGAATAAGTACATGTAAAATGTAAAGAATAATTTAGAATCTATTCATTTGAGTATCTGGCTGCATTATACATTGTATCCGCATGTGTGCCTGGTGCCCAGGGAGGCTAGAAGAGGGTAGTGAATCCCATGGAACTGGACTTATAGTGTGAGTCCTCTAGAAGAATAGTCTCCCTAACCTTGAATCATCTCTCCAGCCCAAGAGAAAAACATTTTTGTTGTTTTGTTTTGAGAAAAGGGTCTTAAAAGTGTAGACTTGGCTGACCTTTAACTCACTATGTAGGCCAGGCTGTCCTCAGACTCAGAGATCTGTTAGCATATTCCACATGTCCAGGCTCAAAAAAGAAAAAAGAAAATAAACCTTTTCCCCAAATATAAGCTTGAGAGGATACTTTTATTAGAGTTTGACAGAAAACCCTTATCTCAGCAGCTACTCAGTGTGGGAAAAGCCACACTATTTGAGTTGCCAGCATGGATATCCCCCATGGTAGCAGACAGCCATATGACAGGAGAGGACTTTAGGAGAAGAATAAGGATTCTTTCTGACTTGTTTGAAACAAGTCTTTGTAGTCCTAACTATCTTTTAACTCTTTATGTAAATCACACTAACCTTAAAATTGAGTTCCTGCCTCTGCCTTCCAGATGGGAAGGTTCTAAGCAGGAGCCTGGGTGCCCTGCTGGTTTCTCCCTCCCTGTTGCCATGGGAAAAGCCCATTGTGCTCATGATCTGGGCCCTAGTTTTATTTTCCTGATGACCCCCATCAGCGTTCTGCCCTTATGTGATACCATAGGCAACATTGGCAGTTCTTCCTGTGGATGACGTCACATTTTCGTAGTCTCTGGACCTCTGGCTGAGATGTCTTTCTCCTTACTATTCTCTGCTTGATTCACTTTTCCCTCCTCCCATCTTGTACACCCTGACATAGCTTAACTAGTCCATATGCATTGTGAATTCAGGTATTTTGTTTCTGGGCTCTCTGGTGCCCTGTGTTTATCTCTGTCCTGGTATTTGACACTCGATTGTTTACATGTGTCTTTTCCAGTACCCAGACTGAGTTGTTTATGAGTGTGTACTGTGTCTCTGTATGTCCTGCTCCTAGCCCAGGGTTTACCACATAGTAAAGACATTATATATGCCCATTGAATGAACAAGTGGGTGAAATAATTTTAAAAAGCCACTAACGTTCTGAAAATCTAAAATGGCTATAGAGTTTTGTTATTAACAGCTTCTCTCTCTAAAGGCCAGTAGAGTATGAGTTGAAAATTGGTGGCTGAGCACTGTCTCTAAATGCTCTGCTACCTTCTTAGCTTTTACGTCCAATAGCTCCCTGAAGTACAGTTTTGCAGAGGGGTAACTGATTTCCATTAATCCCAGCTTCATCCTTAGCACTTTTCTATTGCAATTATAATTTTGAGACTCGGACTTTTGTGTATTTCAGGGCAGGTGATATTACAGAATTAAAAATTTTGGAGATACCAGGTCCTGGAGACAACCAACAGTTTGGAGACCTTCATCAGACAGAATTAGGCCCTTCTGGTGTTGGGTACCAAGTGGGTATCAGTCAGAATGGTACGGGCAAGGTGGTCAAGAAGCCAACCTCTTCCAGTAGTACCCCTCAGAACATCCCTAAGAGGACAGATGTGAAGAGCCAGGATGTTGCCGTTTCTCCTCAGCAGCAGCAGTGCTCAAAGAGTTATGTGGACAGGCACATGGAATCCTTGAGTCAGTCTAAAAGCTTCCGTCGTCGGCACAACTCTTGTAAGTACAGTCAAATTGCCATTTTCATAACCTGCTGTTTCCGTGTTGTAAGCTCTTTAAATTAATCCTTTATTTTGTAAAGTGGGGTACTGGCAGAGTTTGACAAAAATATAGTACGCTTCTGTCTTCCTAGGGCTAATCCCTTAAGATACCAAGGAAAAGAAAATGAGTTATTAGAGGTATTCCTAAGCTTCTTGCCCACCTTCCTTCAGGAAGAGTTGGGGATCTGTACTGTATTGGTGTTTGAAATCTGTGGGGGTAGTTATGATGTCTGAATTGACTCAGGCTGTTCTAGTTAATTTTTTTTTGTTTGTTTTGTTTTTGTTTTGTATATTGTTTGGGGCTCCTACTTACTTTTTCTTGAGACTCAGTCCCATGTACCCCGGGGAGCCTCCTTACATAGTCAGTGCTGTCCTTGAACTTCTTGATAGTTCTGCCTCCTCCAACTCCCAAGTGCTGGGGAGCCTGAATCTCTACACCCAGCTTTCCTGCCCTCCTCCTCCTGTCCCTCCCCTTCCTCTTCCTTCTTTATTTTTTCTTTTTTGAGACAGGGTTTCTCTATAGCTTTGGAGCCTGTCCTAGAACTAGCTCTTATAGACTAGGCTGGCCTCGAACTCACAGAGATCCACTTGCCTCTGCCTCCCGAGTACTGGGATTAAAGGCGTGTGCCAGAGAAGGCAGGGCCCCGGGTAAGATGGCGGCTACTGCCGCCGGTGTGGGCCTCCTCGAGGAGGAGGCGCTGCGGCGGAAAGAACGGCTGAAGGCCCTCCGGGAGAAAACCGGACGCAAGGACAGGGACAATGGGGAGCCACAGACCAAGAAGCTCCGAGAAGAGGAAGAAGATGGGAAGCACAGGGGTCTCAGGCTTCGCAACTATGTCCCGGAGGATGAGGACCTGAAGAGGAGGAGGGTCCCCCAGGCCAAACCAGTTGCAGTGGAAGAGAAGGTGAAGGAGCAACTAGAGGCTGCCAAGCCAGAGCCTGTCATTGAGGAAGTGGATCTGGCTAACCTGGCACCCCGGAAACCTGATTGGGATCTCAAGAGAGATGTGGCCAAGAAGCTGGAGAAGCTAGAAAAGCGGAGGACCCAGAGAGCCATCGCAGAGCTGATCCATGAACGCCTCAAAGGCCAAGAAGCTAGAGAAGCTAGAAAAGCGGAGGACCCAGAGAGCCATCGCAGAGCTGATCCGTGAACGCCTCAAAGGCCAACAAGACAGCCTGGCTTCTGCAGTGGACGCCACCACTGGACAAGAGGCCTGTGATTCTGACTGAGGTGTTCTCCATGTCCCATCTGCCCAGCACCCATGTCCTGCGGGAAGATGGTCTTAGCCAGGGGTGGGTTTAGGCTGGCCAGCACTTCCGGGTCTCAAGAACTAAGCTAGCCCAGTCAAGTCTCAACCTCTTTGAGATGAGGCCAGCTCGTCCCCAGGGCATCCACCACTGTGAGTGTTTCAGAGCTGAGGCCTGTACATATGTGTGTATATTGAGGTTTTTTTTTTTTAGCTTCTGGAAATAGAGACAAGTAAACTCCCCAAAAAAAAAAAAATTTAAAAAAAATTTAAAGGCGTGTGCCGCCACCACCACCCAGCTCTAGTTAATTCTTGAGTAAGACTTCTGTTCTCGGAGAGGAGGGGCTAGTGTAGGCATCACTGTTACCATCATTCTGACAGACTGAGTATGTTATTTGTTGAAGTGCTATGGGTTGAACCCAGAGCTGTGTGCATACCTGGCAAGCATTCTGTCTCCAAGCTCCAGCCCCAGCCCAAACGGACTCTTTCACTTTTATTTCTTTTTACAGCACGTTTATTTATGTGTATGTGTGCAGGGATGTACATGTGGAGGTGGGAGTTGATTCTCCTTTCAGCATGTGGATCCTGGGGATCAAACTCAGGTTGACAGGATTGGTGGCAAACACCTTTATAATAATCTCACTGGCCCCCAAACAGATCACTTAAATTTTGTTGTGTTTACTGTCCCCACTAGAACATTAAGGAGAACATATATGGATATATATTGCTCTCTGGTTTTGATTGCTAGTAACAGATTATTGAATTCTACGTGAAACGTAGATGGGTCACTAGAACCTGTAATGTTTTTTAACGTGTTCTAGAGTAATGTAATTTGATCCATAATAGATTTGTTCACATCTCTTATCGTTCCTTAAATACATATAAATGTCTTTTAAAAGTTCCTTCTAGGGAGCCTGGATAGTCAGCTTGATGGTTAAGAGCCTTGTTCCTGTAGAAGACCCTGTTTCACTTCCCAGCATCCAAATGGTGGTTCGTACTGTCTGTGACTCCAGTCCTAGGGGATGCAGTGCCCTGTTCTGATTTCCAAAGACACCAGGCACACATGTGGTACATGTAGGCAAAACTCTCGTGCATAAAGTAATAAAATAAATACAATTTTAAAAATTACTTCTAGACCTGGAAAGATAGTTCAGTAACTAGGAGCACTTTTGCTGTTCTTACAGAGGACCTGAGTTCAATTCTCAGCACCCAAGTCAGTTGGCTCACAACTGCCTGTAACTGCAGCCCCAAAGCCCCTCTCCAGACTTCTTTGGGTACCTGCAAAATATACATACATATAAATAAAAATAAATATTAAAAAATGCTTCTAAATGATAAAACTTCTTGTCTTAGTTAGAGTTACAATTGCTGCAGTGAAACACATGACCAAAGCAGCTTGGGTAGGAAAGGGTTTATTTAGCTTACACTTCCTCATCACAGTTTATCATTAAGGAATTCAGGATAGGAACTTAAGCTGGGCAAGAACCTGGAGGCAGGAGCTGATGCAGAGGCCACAGAGGAGTACTGCTTACTGGTTTGTTCCTCATGGCTTGCTCAGCTTGCCCTCCCATAGAATTCAGCCCAGGGATGATACCACCCATAATATCTGTCCCTATCCCTGTCAATCACTAACTTAAGAAAATGCCCTACAAGCTTGCCCACATCTTGATCCTATGGAGGCATTTTCTCAGTTGAGGTTCCCTCCTCTCAGATGACTCCAGCCTGTGTCAGATTGACACAAAACTTTCCAGCACATTCTTCTTTTTTTTTTTTTTTTTTTAAATTTATTTATTATTTGTACAGTGTTCTGCCTGCAAGCCAGAAGAGGTCACCAGATCTCATTACAGATGGTTGTGAGTCATCATGTGGCTGCAGGGAATTGAACTCAGGACCTCTGGAAGAGCAGTCAGTGCTTTTAACCTCTGAGCCATCTCTCCAGCCCTACATTATTCTTACTTTTATGTGCATTTTATTTCTAGAAATATGGCAAAATATATTGGGAATTTAATAACATAGAAACTCATAAACTAGAGTCATGTTAAGGCTAAGTAAGGCATTACCTCCTAAAAGGCAGAATTTAGAATGAGCTGCTTTCTGGAGCCCACATTAAAGAGTTGATTAAAGAAAGTTCCAGATGTCACTTACTGTCCTTTTAGTTCCTCATTTAGTCTCAGTGGCCTTGTAGTAAGGTTTTAGTGTGCTGCCTTAGTTCTAGCTTGTGATGTGACATTTGTGTCAGAACTAACATTTTAAGTTATAAGAATGCTTACTTTGGGCTGAAGAGATGGGTCAGCAGTTAAGAGAGAGCACTGGCTACTCTCTAGAGGACCCAGGTTCAATTCCCAGCATCCACATGGGGGCCCACAATAATCTGACTACAGGGGGCTAGAGAGATGGCTCAGTCGGTTAAGAGCACTGTCAGTTCTTCCAGAGGACCTGGGTTCACTTCCCAGCACCCACATGGCAGCTCACAACTGTCTGTAACTCTAGTTCCAGGGGATATAACACCTTCATACCAATGCACATAAAATAAAGTTAAATAAATTATTTTTAAAAAATAAAAATAATCTGACTACAGTTCCGAGGATCCAGTACCTCATACCGACACACATGCAAACAAAACACCAATGCACATAAAGTAAAAAATCTTAAAAAGGCAAAACAAAGGAAATGCCTACTTTATGTGGGAGGGAAAAACAATAAAAAAGGCATTTCTAGGCAATTTAAATACCTATAGGCAACAGTTTTAATTGGTGATGGCCTGAAACAGGAGACTGAAATGTATGCAGTAGTACTTCTGTATCCTAAGGAACTTAAAATGGCATAGATAGTGACTCTTTCCACTTAGAAACCTTTTTTTTGAATAAACTACATATTTTATTCAGTTTGCCCTTGTATTTACCTAATGTCTTGGATCTTATTCGGTATCCATTTCATTTAGAAGTTACTAATCTTGGACTGACTGTTTTTTAAAGATTTATTTTATTTTGGGGTGTGTGTGTGTAGACAGGTACCTAAGGAGGTCAGAAAAGGATATCAGAACCCTTAAAGCTGGAGCTGCAGTCAGTTGTGACTGGCGTGTCCTGTAGAAGAGCACTGTGCGTTCTTAACACTGGCCATCACTCCAGCCATAGACTTCCTATCTTTGTTCACAGATAGTTTGGGTGCATACTGGTCAGGTATTTTGTAGCAAGTTCCTCAGCTGATACTTTTCTTATGGTTAGATTAGTGATTTGGGGGTTTTGTTATTGTTGTCGATTTGGTGGGGGGGAGAAAAATACAAAAGATAAAATGCTGTTTTCATTACATTGTGTCAAGGTTGTGTACAATGACCATAATTTATGACTTTCCATCATCACTTTGGTCACCTGATTAAAATAGCATGTCAGGTTTCTCCTTTGTGTAGTCCACATCCAAGGAGTGAACAGTTAATGATACTTCTCCTTGGCAGTACAATGTTTTCACAAGTTATTTGGAAAAACCTGCACCAGAGATCCCCTACCCAAGTATTTATTTATGCCTTTTTCATCTTCTGAGTCAGGGTCTTATTGTGTAGCCATTGGCTGACCAGGAACTCATTATGTAAACAAGGCTAGTCTATAACTCACAGAGATCAGCCTCCTGAGTGCTGGCTTATTCAGTCAGTCATTTAGAGTAGTAGAGTTTTGATTCACAAATGTTTATTTAGTCCTTGACTCATTGATTGTGTATGTGCCTGTGGTGTACCAGATGTATTTGCGCACATGTGTCTGCACATGTCTGTATGTTGAAATAGGAGCGGCGGGGCTGCGTCCCTAGCACCCCGGCCGCCTGCTAGCTCATGTCCAAAATAACAACACACAAATTGTATTCTTTTAAACACTGCTTGGCCCATTTCTATCTAGCCTCTTCTAGGCTAATTCTTACATATTAATTTAGCCCATTTCTAATAATGTGTGTAAGCACCCCAAGGTGCGCTTACCGGGAAGATTCTAGCCTACGTCCATCCTGGGTCTGAGCTTCATGCGTCTGCCTCAGAGCACAGAGCTATTGCGCATCTACCCGGGAGAGCTGAGCATGGCGTCTCTGCTCTAGAGAGCAGAGCTGTCGAGTCTGTCTGAGGAGTCTTACCTCACTTCCTCTTCCTCCTGTTTACTCCTCCCACCTATGTTTTAACCTATCAGGGCAAGCAGTTTCTTTAATTAACCAATGAAATCAACAGATTGATATATGACACTCCCACATCATCTGTACATCTGTGTGTGCTTGTAGAGGCCAAAGGTTGACATTGGGTATATTCTTCATCACTTTCTCATCCTTACCTTACATTTTCAGAGAGTTTCTCACTAAAACTGGAGTTCACCAATTGACCATATTGACTGGTCACTGATCCCCTGTGATGTAGTGATGTTTTATTTGTATTTTAATAAATAAAGCTTGCCTGAAGATCAGAATGTATAGCTAAGCCACTAGAAGCCAGGGAATGGTGGTACACACCTTTAATCCCAGAGACAGGTGGATGAATCTCTGAGAGTTCAAGGCTACCCTGGGCTACACAAGGTGTATCCTGAAGGAGATCCAAGTGGTGGTGGCTCACACCTTTAATGCTGGTGTTTGGGAGTCACACTCCTTCAATCCTAGCACTAGGTAAGTGGAAACAGGAGCTGTATGGGTGGGTGGAGAAAGGAGTATAAAAGAGAAGAATTATAAAAATATAAAAGAGACAGGAACTCACTGGAGTGTGGAGTCTGAGGATTCATGAAGACAGCCTCGCCCTTTCAATCTGATGATTTGGTAGAAGTAAAAGGTCTAGTGGTAGTCTGCTTTGCTTTTCTGATCTTCAACTTGAACCCCAATATCTGGCTCTGGGTTTTTAATATTTGTGCTACATATGACACCCAACGTTTTGGGTATAAATTCACGAAAAAGCCATTTGCCTGTAGCTTTACAGCCACTGGCATAGACCAAGCTACATGTGGCTGGAGTCATCACCCTACCAGCTAGGTTTTTCTTCTCTTCTGGCAGCCTCTCAGTGAACCCCCTTCTCAGGCTGCTGCCAAACTAGGTAATGGCCTTGAAATTCAGTCAGGCTTTTACTAGTCAATGCAGCAGCAATAAGCCTCACATTTAGTAAATTGGGAACATGGGGACCATGGGAGAGGGTTGAAAGGGAGGGGAGAAGAAGGAAAGGGAGCAGAGAA